AAGCATGGTGGGGCATACCTGCAACTCCAACATTCAAGAGGCTAAGGCAAGAGGATTAGCAGTTCAGCCCTCAGTCACAGAGTAAGATTCTACCTCAAAAATAAACTCTGATGATGATAACTTAAATTTTTAATATCCAACTTGTGTTTAACCATATTATTGTCTTATGGTGAGTACTTTTTTCTTCTTAGACTATTAAAAAGTAACACAAAGCTGAGTGCCAGTGGTTCATGCCTGTAATCCTAGCTACTCAGGAGACTGAGATATGAAGATCATGGTTTGAAGCCAGCATAGGCAGAAAAGTCCATGAGACTCATCTCCAATTAATTACCAAAGGGCTGGAAGTAGAGCTGTGGCTCAAGGTAGAGCACGAGCCTTGAGCAAAAAGGCTCAGGGTCAGCACCCAGGCCCTGAGTTCAAGTCCCAGGATGGGCACAATAAAAAGAAAGAAACAAAAAGCTAAATTAAAAACAATTATACAACTCTACACAGCCTTTCTCTGCCCTCAATCACTATGCTGAGTTCCTCTCCCACCCCACCTGTCTTTGTGGTTAGGAGTGTAGTCTGAAAGGATGCACAGACCTCAGAAAGAACTGGCTTTTCCAGTGGTTGTACTCTACCTCCCAAGTGGCTGATGACAGGTTCTTTCCTTTGCAGGTAGAACCATGGCCACAGCAACAGTAGCTTAGAAAACTGCCCCACAGAATTGAGCAGTTTCCACATGGGAAGCCCTTGAATTACACAAAAGCTAGGGGAGGAGTACATCTCTGAATGTGCTGTTTGGGAACTCAGAGCACATGTTCTATAAACTACGCTTCAAGCCACCATGATCTTAAAATAATAGAAATAAGCAGAGTATAATATCGCTGCGAAGCAGAAAAGAAAAATAAAATGTCTTAAATTTTGTTTTCCCCTTTTTCCTTGTCATTATCTATAGGTTATTACCTATTTATTTACTATCATTTTTATAATTATTAAGTAGTTGTACAAAGGGGATACAAATCTGTAAGTTAGGTTCTGAGTGCAATGCTTCTTCATTACTGTCACCCCTTCTTTCATTTTCCTCCACTTTCCCCTTCCCATGCTACCCTCAAGTTATACAGTTCATTTTTTATATAATGCACAGTGAACATAATCACTGCATTTGCTTACCCTTCTTCCCCCCTCCCTGTGCCCGCCTTTTCCTAACCCATTTTCTGGTATTCCTAAGTATACCCTCCTTTAGTCAGTTTGAGTGTAAATGCACTGAGCTCTGTATATGTTATCATGCCAGATGTATTTTAGATCTAGCTTCTACATATGAGAGAAAACATGCACTGTTTGTCTCTCTGAGCCTGACTGACTTCACTGAACATGACTTCTTCTAGGTTCAGAACAAATGGACCTAGAATATTTTTCTTCTGATTTTTGAGCAATGATTATTTTGATGAGATCACCCATGCTGCCTGGGCCACTGGGAGTCCTTTGACAGACATCTGTGGACCCCTGGTGCTGTTTCCCAGATTCTCCTTGTCTGACTGTGTAAACTTGCCCTGCTAAGTGATATCCAGTCCCACAGCTTGTCTTCTCTTTCTAGGAGGAAACTCCCACATTTTGAGTTCTTGCCTTGGCCCGTGTTCTGGGCTTCATCTTTACACCCACAAAGCAGCTACCCCTGCTGGACTCCAGGCTTTACAAATGGCTGCCCCAAGGCCTAGAGATGGCCTCATTGGAGCAGCTGTGGTGTTCTCCCTTTGCTTTGAATACCCTCTCTGGAAATTCAGAGCACCAAACATCAGATCCGTCTGATCTAACTGAACCTCTACCCTCTCTCTTATTCTGACCAGCCATCCTTTTCCTTTGTTCAATATCCCAGTGTCACAGGATGCTATGCCCTGAGGTGCCAAGGTTCCCGGATGCTTACTGATGCTGACAACAAGCTGGTATGGTCGCTGCAGAGGGAGAACAAGCCTGCAGGCTTTGACTTCATACACAAAGGACACCTCTTATCATACATGGTTTGACTAAGGAGGGTCCCTCTGGAAATTAACAACTGGGGTTGTCAAATATGCTCTGTACTAGCTGCCTTATAAAACAGAATGTTTAAATGTTCTCAGCTTTCTACTCCAGTCCATCTGCTCACAGCCCAGAACAATTAGATGGATTCAAAAAATATTCTGCTTAAAATGGCATGTTTGAGGGGGCAGCAGATGTAATGACACATCAGCCAATACACATGTATCCTCAAAATGGATCCACAAGAAGATTGCTCTTTTTCACTCATGTTACATGGAAACACCAGACCACACACAGTACACAGGAGGCATTCATGTGTAACATACAAAAAAAGTGTAACATACAAGTACGGACCATACCAATGATTAAAAATAATTCATGACGTGGGGGGGATGAGGGGGTGATGGGAAGGGATGGGAAGGGGAAACAAAGGAGGAGGCAACAATGCTTGATAAGAAATGTACTCATTATCTTGCCCATGTAATTGTAACCCCTCTGTACGTATTTTCACAATAAAAAAAAATTCATGTCACTGGACACCAGTGGCTCATGCCTATAATCCTAGCTACTTAGGAGGCTGAGATCTCAGAACTTCAGTTTGAAGCCAGCTTGGGCAGACAGGTTTGTGTGATTCTTATCTCCAATTAGTGACCAAAAAGCTAGAAGCTGAGCTGTGGTTTAAGTGGTAGAACATCAGTCTTGAGTAGAAAAGCTCAGGGCAGTGCCCAGGCTCTAAGTTCAAACCCCTGTACTGGCACACAAAAATTAATAATTCATGTTATCTTTAATAATATAAATACAACAGAAGTAATGAGTAAATACATAAATTGAGATTCAGAAATACTGTAGTCTTCTTTATATAACAAACAAAAATATGCTTACTCTTTGGTGGGTCTGATTAAATTTAGCACAATTTTTAGCTGTATGTGTGTGTGTGTGTGTGTTTGTGTGTGTTTACATGCTTCCATGTTCTCATACTGGGGCTTGAACTCTCACTTGGCTCTTTAGCTCAAGGCTGGCAATCTACCACTCTACTAGTACAAATTTATTTCCAGCTTTTTGATGGCTAATTGGAAATAAGAGTCTCGGACTTCCCTGCCCGGGCTGGCTGTGAACAGGATCATCAGATCTCAGCCTCTAGAGTAGCTAGCATTATAAGTGTGAGCCCCTGCATCCAGCAAAGCTATTTTTTTTGGCCAGTCCTGGGGCTTGAACTCAGGGTCCTGGCACTGTCCCTGAGCTTCTTTTTTACTCAAGGCTAGCACTCTACCACTTGAGCAACACTTGAGCAATAGTACCACTTCTGGCTTTTCAGTTTATGTGGTACTGAGGAATCAAAACCAGGGCTTCATACATGCTAGGCGAGCACTCAACCACTGAGCCACGTTCCCAGCCCAGCAAAGCTATTTTTAATATAACAACAAGGTATGCTACACAGAAGATGATACCTAATGTGAAACATGTCCAATGTATATTGCTATGTGTTAAGATTTGGTAGAAATCAGTGTGTAGCAGCAGCCTGGGTAATGAAAGGCACATGTTGAAGTGGTAAAGCATCAGATGCATCTGCTTGCTTCCCTAGGTGGCCCACAGCCCAAAAAGATAAGCAGGCAGGCAGTGTTTGGCTTAAAGAGACCACCACCCAATCTCAGGCAAACCAGGACAATGAGATGCTTTCTTGAACCAGTACTAACACCATGTCTCTAACAGGACAGCTGTTGAATACAGAGATACAACCTAAAAGGAGTGTATACTACTCACAAGAAATCTGTCTTCTGCTTTTTTTTCTTGCTGGTGTTTGTTCGGACAAGTACAAGGTCTAAATACCAACCTATTTTCAGTCACTGCTTTTCTGAAATAACTCTTTCCCTTTCATCCTGAGCAACTTCTGAGCCACCGCAATGGTGAGCATTAAGTTAGAAACTGGGAGAAAAGACAATTCCCACAGACATATTATTATGATATTTTCATGGAAAGGCTTACGTGCTCAAACTCTCATCTGTGTGCATTACTGTTTTCAGTCTGGGGTCAGGAAAGGACAGAGAGTGTCGCCCTGACCAATTTATGCGGAGGAGGAAAGGGATAGTGGGAGAACACCAAAGAAGGGGGTAATAATGCTCATCAAGAAATGTACTCATTACCTTACTCATGTAACTCCATATAGCATCTTTATAATAAAATAAAATTAAAAAAAGATTTATGCAGAGAACATGGCTGCCCAAGTAGAGCTAGGCAGGAGACACCCTCCCCCCAAACAGAGACAGCACCAACCTCTTCAGAAACAAGTCCCACCAGAGGCAGGTAGGTGTTCACCTCTTGTACTCCACAAACACCCATTAGGATGAGAGGGAGGGTCCACGGATAATGGCAGACTGCCTTCCCCAGCAGCTGTGCCAACCTGCACTCCATGCAGAGGGGAAGAGGCTGGAGCCTCTCAGCCTTACCAATGTCTGTTCCTTTCAACTGGCTCATGCTGGGCCAAATTGGTGACAGAATGCTGAAGTTCTGAATTCAAATCCCAGTGTCCTCCTCCACCCTCCCACCTGCTCCCCCCACCTTAAAAAATACTAAGTCCAATTGCCTTTATGCTATTGTATCTTTTGTGCCCATACTGGAACTTGAACTCAGGGCCTCATGCCATCACTTGGCTGGTGGTCCAGTACCAGAGCCACATCTCTACTTCTGGATTTTTGCTGGTTAACTGGAGATAAGGGTCTCTTAGATATATCTACCCTGGCTGACTTCAAACCATAAGCCTCAGATTTCAGCCACCCAAGTAGCTAGGATTATAGATGTGAGCCACCAGTGCCCATCCATCCAATGACCTTCTGAACACCCACTTTCCTAGGAATCATGAAAGAAACTGTGGAAGGGAGGCAGGTACATTAAATGAGCCAAGTAATGTGGATGAATTGCAAATCTTCCACACGGAAGGTGATTTTAGCCTGCAGAAACACTAGCGGAGCTGTTCAATGGCACCCCACAGGACTGAATGTGAGACTTACAGTGTGTGGAACGTAGGGGAGGCCGTAAAATCGCTCCTGTGTGTCTTTAAGAATGTCTGTGGTTGACTTCCTCAGGGGGTGCCTGCCATGGTAGATTTGGTCCAGCGTGGCATAGAAGACCTGCACAGATGAAAACATCTATTTAGCATTAGTAGTCCATTCTTATAGGTAACACTGGTCCAACAAAGATGTACCAGAGTGACAGCTGAAAACACTCACAAATATAAATGTATCTGATATATTTACATAATACCAAGATACTGAAGATCATGGTAAAGATAAAAAGTAATGTTCAGCCTTCTCATGATTAAGGACATGGTGGAGTTTTGAATCTTATAGTAAGGTTCTCTTTATGTACAATATAGCAAGTTAAGTTTGTGACCCCAAAACTAGAATTTTTGCCAAAATTAAATAGTCAGAAATATTAAAAAAAAAAAAAGAAAGAGAGAGAGAGAAAGTTCTAAGTTGTAAGCCTCTGGATAATCATATAGTTTTTGGTTTCTTCCTAGTATCCTGAGAGATATGAGATGGTTAGAATGCATGAAAGAACCTACCTAGTGTTGGGGAAAGGGAGAAAGGAACAGCAGTATAGCATCTGGTAAGTACAGATGTTACCAAGAATTCCAGGTGGCTGTTGGAAAGTTGGAAGCAAGGACCCCCACACCTGTGTCTCCAACTACAAAGGAACAGCTGCCATATGGGGTGAGGGACCTGCAGGGAAGGACCAGCCACCTCTAGACAGAGGAGAGGCCAATGAAATCTAACAGGAGAATAAAGGGTCAAAGAAAGTTTGACCATGAATCTGCGGCCTACACAGTACTGAGAACTAAGTTTTGCACAGGATACCTTGAGGAAAGATAATATGCTTTTTTTCTCCTCAAAATTTGAATTGTATTACTGATACAGGGTGGAATTTACCTGACAGAACAAAGTCAACATGCCTTATTTAAAGCAAAAATTGGAAAAAAAAAAAAAAGGACATGCACTCATGCCTCTGATATGTATCTTTCTACTTCAGAAATGGAATTTGCAGAGAATGTGCAGCTGTTGACTTGAAAGACTAAGGATTAGTTTGGATAAAAGAAAAAATTTAAATGAACTGTGGCTTCTGGCTTCACATAGATATAAAATTATGGCTCTAAATTAGAGAGCCAAGTTTAAACTTTTCCTCAAAAAAGACAGACATGTCCCTAAACATAAATAGTGTGTTCTTCTAAGTGGTAATCTAAATATGTAGCTAAATACATATTTCTTCCAATTCTATGTTGTATAATGAGTAACAATGCCTAAAGATAACTGGAGAAGCCAAAGTTGCTCATCTGCATTTTACCTATACTCTACCACCGTAAAGTATTAGGTATTGGAGCTCATCATTCCAATCTGAACTATACAATCTAGCAACAAGTCAGACTTCAAGAGCTTCAATTTTAAAAATGATAAAAAAAAACACAGCATGATTTCTTTTAATACAAGGAGAGAGAAAAGTAATGTGTATTTAATTTATGTTTATCTGCTGATGTCAAACAATTCTCAAGCCACCAATATAATTTCCCATCCAGTGGGTTATGCATTTCTACGACCAATACAGAGCCAGTGTTTTTAAAACAATGCATGGTAAAATGCCACATCACAATTCCTAAAATGCCTTTCTACCTCTTAGGAAAGCTGAGGCAACCCACTTCCTTTCCAGCCTTGTTAATCTCCACAGTATAGCCCCAGTGGGATGGCAGGGCACAAGCCCTATCCTGGCATAAGACCTGCACTCTTTGGCTTATTCATTTAAGAGGGTAAGAGGGGAAAAAAATGTCTTCTCATTTTAAAAGGAAATCAGTAGAACAACTTCAAAGAGAAAGTCTCAACATAAACTCCTACAAGGAGGTCCTTCTACTACTAATAACAGTAAAACAGGACCTTTGCACTGGGTATGATAGCTGTAATCCTAGCCCTCAGGAGACAGACAGGAAAGACCTGAATTCAAGGCCAGCCTAGGTCACATATTGAGACATTGAATTCTCAAGGAACCAAAAAAAGTAAAAAAGATCTTTGGCACCATTGGCTCGCGCCTATAATCCTAGTTACTAAGGAGGCTGAGATCTGAGGACCATGGTTCAAAGCCAGCCAGAGCAGAAAAATCTGTGAGACTCTTATCTCCAATTAACTATCAGAAAACCAGAAGTGGCGCTGTTGCTCAAGTGGTAGAGTACTTACCTTGAGCTGAAGAGTACAGGGTCAGCGCCCAAGCCCAGAGTTCAAGACCCACAACCAACCAAAAAAACAAACAAAAAAACAAAAAACAAAAAAACCCAAGATCTTTGGCAAGTAATGCTCATTTTAAAGGCTATTCTATTGAACTGATCAATTTACAAATCAATTATAAATTATGGTTTTGTCCATACAGTGGATTTTTCCAGCATCTGAGCCCCCACGTGTGGGGGCTCTTGGATTTGTCTGCCCAGACTGGTTTCAAACTGTGATCCTCTTATCTCAGCCCCCTGTGCAGCTAGGATTAAGGAATGGGCCACAGGTACCTGATTTTTGCTATGTTCTTTGAAGTCAGATGCAAGATGTTTCAGCAGCACAATTACAGTCACAAATGAGCAGCCTTGGCAAGGATTTAGGTGGATGATGAAGGAAACCCGAGCCTGGAGGAGAGCACATACCTGAAGTTGCATTTCTGCAGCAGCACACACCTTCTTAGACTCACAGAGACGGGACACCATGTGCTTTGGCAGTGGCTTCATAAAACATAAGGACACAGATGTGAGTAAGCTAAGCCTGCTGGTAAGCCAGGCACTAGTACACTGTGAATCAGGAGATTTAAAAATAACATCACATGGAGAAAATGAGTAACAAAATCTGCTTAGACTTTACAAATAATAATTACTTTCAAATATTTCACTTAACAAGACAACATGGATTTAGTTTTAACTGCATTTAGTTTTAACAGGTTCTAACTATCCAGGCGGAATATGCAGATGAGGGGGGGAAAAATCAGGGTTTCAGGACACAAGGGGCTGGCACTGATCTTTAACCTTTATTTAAAACCCCAAAGCAGACACTTTGCCTGTCCCTTTGTTCCAGGGAATGTTGGATCAAGTGTGCTCTTAACTTATAAACCCACAATAAGGGATGATAAGACTAAGAGATTAAAATGTCAAGAACTGAAGGGTAATCCAGGTGGATTTTAAAGCTCAGTTGGAATGAAGTTATGTGCTCCCTGTGTAATTTAAATTCCAGGCTGCCTGAATGTTTTTATTTCTTTTAAATATTCCATAAAACTTGCTTTAAAAACAAAACAAAACAAAAAGAACTGACTTGATGACCTGACTGTTGGCATGCTAACAAACTGTGGGTTCTTAATTTTCCAACCTGAAAGAACTATAGAGCTTGGCTGGACATGACTCAACGTCTCTGCTGATGTAAGGCTTTCTCTATTTGACTAATAATTAGGCCAAAACCTACAATATACACACCCTCATGGAAATAACCTAACAATGGAGGTGAAGATACTTTGCTTCATTTTTTTTTTTTTTTGGTCAGTTGTGAGGCTTGAACTCTGGGCCTGGCCTCTGTCCCTGAGCTCTTCAGCTCAAGGCTAGTGCTCGACCACTTGAGCCGCAGAGCCCCTTCTGGCCTTTTCAGTTAGGTGGAGCTGAGAAATTGAACCCAGGGCCTCATGCATGTGAGGCAAGCACTCTACCAACTGAGTCACCTTCCCACCCCACTGTGCTTCATCTTTAAGGATCATTACTATTGATATTTACAACTCTACTTACAATCTAAATTACTCTAAAAGGCCTTAAAGAGAAACACATTTACAAGAGACATTGGTGATGACTGGATCATCAATTTGTATATATTATGGCCCATGGGCAAGAATATGGGCCCACATTCATTATTTGTACATCTCTGGGGCCCAGAACAGAGCTTCTGGGCCTCTGTGAGAATTTGCTGAAGATTCTTGAAAAAATACAAGAATTGTTGTAAATGAGTTGGGGGGGGGGGACGCTTGTGTCTATGTGTGTGTGTGTGTGCACACTGGTATTGGAGCTTGAACCCAGGGCCTCTTGCTCTTGCTCAACCTTTTCCCTCAAGAGGCTAGTGCACTGCCACTTGAGCCATGCCAGTTCCAGTTTCAGCTTTTTGCTGGTTACATGGAAATAAGAGTCTCATAGACTTACCTGCTGGGGCTGGCTTCTAGCCATTATCCTCAGACCTTAGCCTCCTGAGTAGCTAGCATTACAGGAGTGTGCCATTATCCTGCCCAGCTCTGACTCACTTCTTAAGTGAAGGACTGACTACAGTACACCAGGATTTGATGATAACTCAGACAAAGATCTGCAGCCTATTCTTTTCTCTTTACAGCTTGTCTATAAGAAAGCAAACTAGGGCTGGGTGTGATGATACATGCCTGTAATACCAGCACTTGGGAAGCTGAAGCAAGAAGCTGTTGAGTTCCAGGCTAGCTTGTACTATATAGCAAGATCTCATCTTAAAATAGATAAGCAAAATAAAATAGAGGAAGAAAAGAACAAGGGGGGAGAGGAGACAAAAGGTGAGAAAAGGAAGAACAGGCAGGGAGGACACCAGGAGAAAAGGTGATTTTAGATTTGATACAGACTGATACATGTTGTACAGGCCATGGGCCTGGAGCTCTCTACAGAAAAGCATTTATCTATATGATAGAAAGAAAAGTGTCCTCAAATGGAAATTTAAAAAAAAAATTGTATTGGTACTAGGGCTTGAACTCAGGGTCTGGACACCATCCCTAGCTTTTTGGCTCAAGGCTGGCACTCTACCACTTACTTGAGCCAAGCTCCACTTCTGGATTTTTTTTTTTTTTTTTGGATTCTGGGGCCTGAACTCTGGGCCTGGGTGCTGTCCCTCAGCTCTTCAGCTCAAGGCTAGCACTCTACCACTTGAGCCACAATACCACTTCTGGCTTTCATGATTATGTGGTATTGAGGAATTGAACCCCTGGCTTCATGCATGCAAGGCAAGCACTCTACCACTGAGCTACCTTCCCAGCCTACTTCTCAATTTTTTTGATGGTTAGTTGGAGGTAAGAGTCTCACAGACTTTACTGCATATATAGGCTTCAAACCATGATCCTCACGTCTCAGCCTCCTGAGTAGCTAGGATTACAGGTGTGAGCCACCAGCACCCACCTCAGAATTTTTTCTTATAAGTTTGATGAAGTTGCACTTACTAACACACTGCAGCAAAATGTTCAGGCTTATTTCAACCTTCGTATTTTAACTTATGTTAAAATTTTAACCTATGTTGACAAGCTATTTAAGAGATATTTCATACTTTGTAAAGTTTTAACAATCTTACTTTCACAACACAAAACATGAATAACATTTTTTTCCTTCAACAAACATGAAGCCTTCTGTGAAGCCTCCCTATACTAGGCACCAGGGACAAAGTGGTGGCACAGTCAGCTGGGTATCCAAGCGTTTCTCCATGTGAGCACCAACTTGAATCCTGCCTATCACGAGTGCCAGGAAGCGAGGCACTGCAGGGCAATACCAGGACCATGAAGGTTTACTGGGGAAACAAGGTAGACAAACCGTGAACAGGAACAAGAGTTACCTAGGTAAGAAGGGAAATGGAGGGAGATGAACTCAGGCAGGAGAAACAGCAGGTGCAGAGGGCATAAACCAGCAGGTTGCTATGGGCCCAGGGTGGGGAGAGCAAGAGCCAGGAAAGAGGAAAGAGAAAAGGTTGTGCCTGACAAGGATAGCAAACTCAACCACCAGGCCCCCCACTCCCCCCCACCCCCCCCATCAGTCAGGCTCCACCCCTCCTCCAAGGTCAGGCCCCACCCCTTGTGAAGCAGCTGGGGAGTTTGAAATACAAATGTCACAGTGTATAAAGAAAAGCCCCCCTGGCTTTGTTCATTAGCCCATTTTCAGCATCCTCAGAAAAGGTCTCCGATGAGGATGGAGGAGCAAGGTTCCCACCAACCCAGGGGGAACTGGGGGACTGTGCTTTGCTCTGCCTCCAGCTGCTGGGGCCTGGCAGTGGCTAGGAAGCAGCAGTGGGAAGGTGGTGAGGGAGAAATGTTTCTCTGTGGTTAAGAAATGCAAAGATGATTTAAAGGTAACTGCTGAAGAAGAAGGACCATGGAGGGGCAAAACCTCAAGATGCAGAAGCGACCAGGAGAAAAAGGGGGACGGGGATAACTGAGAAGCAGGGAGGGGAGGCTACACAAATCACAGGAGAAAGGACAGCTTAGTTAGAAGCATGGGTGGGAAGGGCTCCAACAAGGTCCCCTCTGATGGGCTCTCCCTGAGCTTAGAGAGGAAATAGGGGGTGGAGGTGGTTAACAAGATGAGATAAGATCAGAGGTGGATGGTATCCTGGACAGAAGTAGAAGGATCCACAGAGAGGCACCTTGCTGCAGTAAGGAGCCTGTGGTGGGGAGAGCAGGAGAGAGTGGGGAGGACAGGCAGACCAGCTGTCCCAACTCCAGCCACTGACAGGCCTTGCCAGAGGCTCAGCTCTCTTTTCTGTAGACAATACCCAGAAATGCCAGTTTTAGCCCAGAAAGCCAAATACAACACTCTCCTTCCTGTTTATTTAGAGGCCAATATCCTCAGGATTCAAACCTATACAGGAAAGGGAACATTCCAGAGCAAAGTCAGTGAAGTGAATTTTAGTTCTGTACTTTATTAGGTTTTCAACAGCACAAAAGAATGAAGAGAAAAAGAGTAGGTAAGACAAGGATAATCGAAAAAAGAAGTCTCTCAAAACTGATGGATGGGGGGATGGGGTGGCTCAGGTACTCAGCAAGCATGAGATCCTGAATATAAACCCTACCACCACACAAATATATGGATATAAAATGTGTTGTGCAAACAGTGAATGTCTTATGAGAAGCAGTCAGAAGTTCAGGGGTACTTTGTGGGGTTCCTATCAAAGGAGGGGCTTATATAAGAGGACCCCAGTAAGTGAACTCATTCTTGACACACACAAAAAAAAAAGAGAGAGAGAGAACTTGAAACCCAGATATGCAGGCAGCCACATTCCAAAGCCACCCTAACTGGAAAACGTCCAGAGACAGCAAAGTGACGATCACATTTTCTTGCTGCTGCTTTGATTTTTACTAGTTCAGACTTTAGGAGATCCTGCAAAGAGCACCTGGTCAACACCTGCAGACACTGGATCAACCCAGACCCTAACCCCAAATCAGACCCAGATGATGATTCTGGTCCTTTATATGGAGAGACAAGTAGGTCACTCCTGGCAGCCCAGACCAGGTCAGAAAGTATCCAGACACTGCTCAGACTCCTCCATGTCAATCCCAGTTGCTAACTGTGGTGGACCCCCAGTGGACTGAGCTCACCCCACTGAAGACAAAGCTATGTCAGGCTACAGCAGCAGCTGAAGAATCAGTATGTGCTTTAGCTACCTTGGATGACAAGATGGCTGTGTTCATTTCATCTGTGATAAATGAACCACTGCCATGTACCCATATGGTCTTGTTCACAGCAGCTGAGACAGACCCAGCCTCACAAGAGTCATCATCTGAACAGCCATAACATGAAAGCATAGTTCTGCATCTTGCTGTGCATCTGCCCACGGCATATTATGAAGACATCACTACGTCGGTGTCAGATGATAAAGAGCACAAGGTGCAGTCGATGTATCTCTTGATGTGCCTCTGCCGGCAACACGTGAAGAACAACCACCTCCACTTTCAGTGGCAGCAGAAGAGCCATAACACAGG